AGCTAAACTTTTTATAGCATTATCCATAACTTCACATGGGTGCATTATGTGGACAATTTCCTCACTACCAATGCAATTCACTTTAGAACAGGAAACCAACAAGATCTCATTCTCTGATGTCCTCAAGAAAAGGTCAATAATTAATTCAGCTTCAGAATCTGCAGAAAACCTACTAACAAAAAGATCATTAACTTTTACTTCATTCAGGACACACGAAACACAAACATGACCGACAGACAGACAACACATGAGACCTGTGCATCTTTAACTCTCACAATGAGGGTCCAGGATCAATCTGGCACAGGTGAAATGGGCACGTTTCCTTACTTGACTCACAAAATCGTAATGACACAATTGCAAACAACCCATACCACAAAAGGGGTTAGAACCCGCGATCAGTCTCTCTCAAATCTCCAGACCGTTGCGTTAGCCATTGGGCCAGCTAGCCACAATAAGATTCATCCAACTAGGTACGTATATTTATACACCATAGGAAGGTTAATCTTCCTTAGATGCAAGAGCATTGCAACAGCAAGAGACCACAACTGAGGAAATTGCTTCAGAGGGGAGAGAGATGGAGGAAGTTGCCTTCTTCAATGATTAAGGACATCTGTACAATGTGGACAAAGGTGCAAGCTTTTATGGATGAACATCACCCTGACACAGCTACTGCAAGCCATGCTGGTGACTTTTACAATGACAATGTTGTGGCCCATTTTAGGGAAATCTTAAAGGAACGCCAGAAACAGAGCTCTATGGGCAGATTTTTGGCCCAACAGAGGTCCAGTGACTGTCAAGTTGTTCCCAGTGGCATTAAAAAAAAAAAGAAGGTAAGTAACCCCGGAAAAGGACTTGCTACCTAAAGTCCTTATGGAAGGGGGTTCCCCTTCCAAACAATAATACACCTCCATCTCCCCTCCTCCAATCTCATCACTCAATAAATCTTCAATAAAGGTAAGTGTCATTTATTCTTCATGTAGGAAATTGCATATTTCATGTGAATTTTTTTTTTTTAATACTTTTGGGTGTCTGGAACAGATTAATTGGATTTCCACTATTTCTCATGGGGAAAATTAATTCGGCTAATGATAAAATCGGTTAAGGACAAGCTCGCTGGAACGGATTAAAATCGTTACCCGAGGGTCCACTGTATTTGTCTAAGCTTTCAGTGTCCAGGAGGTAGAACCACCCTGGAAGGTTTGCCGGTGATTATTTTTGCCCAACTTACCACCTTGTTGCCTAATATACTACATAAAATAACATAACAGGACACTGTATTATGACCACTGGCCCATGTTAGTTCCTACTCTCACACCCATCATTCCTCAAACGGAGAGCCAATGACAGGTCAACTCAAACAACTCTTACCTACACTCGCTGAATGTTCAGTTGTAGGTCAATACTATGGTGCAAATATAGCGGAACCTCAGTTGTCGATCGCATTACTTGAACAAATGGTTTTTGTACATTCTCTTGGTTGTCAACCGACAACACAAACAGCTTGAGTCATGTGCGCACAGAATTCGCACTGGACAATGAGTCGACAGTGTGGGTCCGATAATTTTAAAAGTGGCTAGGCATGAGAAGGCTGCCAGTGCTGACAAAGTGGCTGTTGAAAAGTATGTTACTGAATTCCATAACTGAAGAGAAGTCAATGCCAGGACACAAGCCACTGAAAGACAGGCTCACTCTGTTACTGTGTGGTACAGGTCGACCATCAGTAATCTGGCAATCAGTTATCAGGTTCCATCAGTAATCTGGCACTAATTTCAGCTAGCATAATTTCAAATTTCCTCATTATACTGACTCAAATTTCAGCATTATTCTGACTCAGAAATTGTGCAGATGGTTGTAAATCCACAGCAGCAAGCCAGTGGAAGAGAAAGCAGTGATGAAAATGAGGAAGATGTAGCAGAAAGTCTCTACTGATATGTTAATTAAGTGTATTCTAACCTAACCACCCTGTAATCTGGCAAACTTACTAATCCGGCATACAACAGGTCCCAATGATGCCGGATTAGCGATGGCCGACCTGTAATGCAAGTGGGGACCTGAAATTGAAGCCCTTACTTGTTTATCATTACAAAAATCCATGGGGTTTCAAGAACAATATTATGAAAAACAAACCGGCTGTAATGTGGAAGGCCAACACGAAAGCTTGGATAACAAGACAATTTTTTATTGAATGGGTTCATGAGGTATTTGCTCACACTGTCAAAAAGTACCTCGTTAAAAAACTATTGCAACACAAGGCCCTTTTACTTATGAATAATGCTCCTGCTTACCATCCAAGCTTGAAAAACAAGTTGCTGGAGGAGTTCAGTTTTATAAGGACCATTTCAATATTCTCACCTGCTTGAGGCTTATAGACAATGCTTGGGGGAAAGTGACTTTCCAAGACCATGCAGTCAGCATGGGAGAAATTGTGGCCTAACTTTGTGGCAGCTAAGGATTTTGAAGGCTTTGAAGATGAGCCTGAGCCGGTAGAGGATATTCTGTCCCTGGGAAAGACCTTGGACCAAGATGTGACTGATGATGTGGAGGAGTTGGTGGAGGAACACAGAACTGAACTCACTACAGAACTTGTAGACCTTCAGAAGGTCTACAAGTTCTGCCATCTGAGGAAGAGGGAGGGGGGGGGGAGGATGTGCACATTGCACTTGTCAAAGAAATGTGTGCTAAATGGCATGAAGTGCAGGAGTTTACTGAAAAATATCATTCAGAAAAAGCAGTGGCCATCCATCGCTCTAACATATACAATGACAAGTGTAATGTCTCATTTCAGACAAGTGTTGGTAGGTAAGACACATAGGCAACAGTCAGGGAACTTTATTTCGAAACATTTCGCCTACACAGTAAGCTTCTTCAGTCGAGTACAGAAAGTAGGCAGCAACAGTGAGATGTGAAGACATCATCTTCACATCTCTACTGTTCCTGCCTACTTTCTGTACTTTGAAGAAGCCTACTGTGTAGGCGAAACGTTTCGGAATAGAGTTACCTAACTGCTGCCTATGTGTCTTGCCTTCCAACCTGTCGGTATTGTACACCATTTTGATATTCCGACAAGTGTTAAAACAGAGCATGCAATAAACCTCACTGGACAGGTTTTTAGAGAGAACCAGTGAGCCAGAAGATGGTGTTAGTGGCAAAGAGGCAAAGAAAAACACCAGGATAGATGCCTGACATATTACTAAGTGACTCTCCTTCCAAACAATAACATACCCCTTCCTCTCCTTCACTTCCTGCATCCAGTATGCCATTAGCTCTCCTCTGACAGGTATGTGGCAGTTAAATTCATTTGCCGTACGGTACTTTGGTTAAAGTTTCCTTTAATATTCATTTTTAGTTTTATGTAGTACAGTGAAACCTCCCTACTCAAACAATCCGGTATTCAAACGCTTTGTTCAGTGTTAAAAAAAAAAAAGGTTGGGAAAATTTCATTCAGTACGCAACAGCCTTCTGGAATGAATTAAGTTCGAGTACCAAGGTTCCACTGCAGTTAGTGCATTTTTAATAAATTATTATATTATTTGGGGTTCAGAATGGATTAATTCTATTTACACTATTCACGGGAAAACTGCTTTGGTTGCCGAAGCGACATCTGCAACGAATTAAATTCGACAAATGAGGTTACATCGTATTCTTAGAACGCTACTCGCAGAAGAAATGATAGCCTGTGGCACACACACATTGGTATGGTTTTTTCACACCTTTGAGATAAGATTTTTTTCGGATTTTTAGCCCCAGAGGATTAGCCACCCAGATAACCTAAGCAAGTCAGTGTGTCATTGAGGACTGTCTTTTTCCATTAGTGTCCTTAACTCCTGTCTCCCAGGATGCAACCCACACCAGTCAACTAACACCCAGGTACCTACTTGCTTGCTAGGTGAACAGGGATAGCAGGTTAAAGGAATTACCCCCAATGTTTCCACCCTTACCGGGTGTGAGGCGAGTGTGGCCTACCTGTGCGTCAGTCTTTAAATCAAGGTTTCCTCTGTAACAGTTTCTTCTAAGTACATCTGTAAATAATCCTGCCATTCCATAACACTATGGGCCAGTAAATCTGTCCTGTTTACTATTACAAACACAGGAGAGCACTAAACCCTTAGGGGTTATACAGCAAGTGCAGGGATGGGATGCATTCAGGCTTAATCCAAGGAAGGAAAGCACACGTCCAATTCCTAAGATGAAGATCCCATCACCAGCATTAAGGAAGCTCCCTTAAGGGGGCCTGTGTTTTAAGTGGGGCTAGTTAATTGGATATAAATACTACCTACCAACCAAGCATAAGTCAGAGTAATTGCATTACTTTTCTAACATGATCAACGGGGAACTACCATTATACTTTTTTTTATTCTTACCACAAGTGGTACACACTATCTTGATAAGATAAGCGTTATTCGGGTTAAATATGGTATTTTAGACTGGTGCTTTAAATGTATACAAAAGTTACATTAAGAAAACTATAGACAGAGTGGAGAAAGTAAAAATCTCGCATAATCCAAGATATTTATTTTCTCTGATAATGTATACGGAAATTTAAATTCACTATTGAGGTTGACATGTTGCACAGACGAATAGTAGTCATTAACCTTTCGTATAAAACAGAGAAAACCAAGAAGAGCAACTACTCCTCTTTAGGATATATGCATTTTACTTTTATAAGCAACTAGCAATATCCGAGAAATTCTTGTAACAAAGTATGTTATTGAGATTTCAATATGTAAAAACGAATTCCTGGAGACTAGACGTATTCCTAAATATGCATTATACTATAAATTTTGTCATATTAAATGGGAAATTTGCATACAAATCAAGAGAGAATAAGCTTACAATATGCATCAACTACTATAATGGTATTCGGCAGCAGTCAAGCTGGAACCACGTTGGACTTGCCTAAACGCCATGCAATAAAAGCTCATATTTTCTTTGATTTCCGAGTCATGGTTTCAATTTCCACATTGCCTAAACGCACCATCGTACACTTAAATTATACTCACCTCGGCCTGTTGTCGAATTTTATTCTCAGCACTTAATAATCCAGTTAAAAGTTGCTGAAATTGCTCCTGATCACCCGCCATTTTCGCCGGGACCGCTACGACAGACATATGATTCTGTTCCAACATTTCCAGTCGACGATGCAACAGGGCTGCCTGGTGCTCTCTCTAGCTACAACCTCTCTGAAGCTTCTGCCTTTCCTCCCTCTTTGTCACAGTTTAATCGAAATACCACCATAAACACTTCTGTCCATATATGTCGATTATGTAAAAAAATTAATGAATTATTAATGACATCTAGGGGTTCTTTTAAAAGAATATATTGGAAAACCTGAACTCAGTTTCCCGCGATTTCATTCAAAGGGAAGAGTCCGAGACTGTGAGTCAGGAGCACCGGGAAGACACGCGCTGGAGACGATACTCACCCGGATTGTTGTTGTTCTTCAGGGGTTTCGCGCGGAAATTCACCGTCCAGGAATCCTCCTGCGTTGGCAGTATTTCTTGAATTGATATGGATGCAGATGCAGATAACGGTGAGATAACATATGGACTATATCGTTATCCTTTCGGTGTTATCGGAAATCGTTTTCTAGAATTTAGTGAATTAATACCTTGGAATTTTAGACCTGAAGTGTTGCCGTTGTAGATCTCCTCTACCATGAGTAAGATAAAGATTCATTGTAGTGTAGTACAAAATGATATGACAAATGATATTTGAAATTCATAGCAAAGTATGTTTGAAAGAATGCTAAATGTCTTGGAAATTGCCCTATTTATGTGCTGGATGTTTTGTATTTATTTATTTGCTGTCAAATTGTATGCCTAAGTATTTTCCATCGTTTTATCATTATCTGCATCATTTTGTGTTTAATTTGAATATTTTTAACGTTTTTTCCGAACATTGGAAAAGGATTTATCAAAGTTGAGTACGAGATTGTTGAATGTCATCCAAGTAGATGTCTTTACAGGGCCCCAATGAACAAAAGTTCAAAGACCTTATTGGAAATAAGTCTTTTTTTTTTTCTTTTTTTTTTTTTGGTTAGCCTAGGCAATTTATACATATCTAATCATCGTAAATATCCCCAGAATTAAGCAAAATATTACCTAAACAAATATACAAGCTCTTCAATAAATGTTGAGTGCAACAGAATTTATATTTGAGATGACAAAAACTTATTTGGCAAACAAAACTGTTTGATATCTTGAAAGAATTAGATATGCCATAGCGATGAAGATGAGAAATAGAGCCGAGGAAGCTGTCCTGTCACACTCCTATATTGATAGGCTGAGTTAGTGGTATAATAAAAGCAATAGATTATTTCCTACAATTATTCTGACGAGATGAACGTTCAGACACATGTGCAACACTGGATATCTTTATTGTAGTATACGTTTCGCCACGTGCGTGTGAACACAACTCCAAGGCCGAGGGACTGATTACCTCATCTTTTGTATATAGTTCTACGTCTTCCTATTATGTCATAATCTGTATTGATAAAGCCACTGGATGGCGAAACGTCTACTACAATAAAGATATCCAGACGTGCACATGTGTCCGTAACTTTCATAATGTCGTATTTTATACCTTTCTTGCACACCATTTGACGATATAATGGAATAAGGCACATTTGCAACATTTGGGTGTCTTCACTGCCAAAACATTTTGCCTACACAACAGACTTCTTCTCCATATTGTTTCATACTATGGAACAATGCTCTTCTCCAGACTGAGGGACTGACCACCTCAAAACTTTAAGGGTGATGGACTGATTACATCGTCTTCAAGTATCTTCTGCTTCTATCAACTTTTCTGTACTTGACTGAAGAAGCCTACTGTGTAGGCGAAACGTTTCATAATAAAGATACCTAACTGTTGCATATGTGTCTTACCTAACAGACTTGAGAGAATGATCACCTTCCACCAAGAGTGGTAGACTAATTGTCAAAAATTACCACCACCACTGTATTTGACACATCACTCTTCCACAAATTGTGTTAATGGCACTTGTTCATCGATCCACTGATACAGCTGGTAGTGCTGCTGTTGTCATAGTGTTGTCTGTTATAGAAATTGGAGCACACAGTAATAGCTGGGCCACTACCCTTCAAACTGAACTGCTTGTCATAATCCTTGCACTCAAATAAGTCAATATACCAAAGGTTGACACCTTAATTTTTATCATCCATAATTGCTTTTAACTCCTTGAGTATCAATTGTGGTATACTTCTATCAGAAGTCAGACACATGTATGGTAGGATTGTGGAGTTAAGAGTACACCTGTGGATTCCAGATTGCCTTGGTCTTCAGATGCATGATAAAACTAATGAATTGATACTCATATTCTTTCAAAGAGGGAGTAGATTATGCCCTTGGGCAATCAGTTAACAATTTGAGAATAGTAATACAAAAAATAACTTCAACTGAACTTCAATGATTTGAGACTGCGGGGGTTTGCTACTTACATTTCCTTGGGTAATGAAAGAAATTCATTGTATTAACTTATTAGTAGTACTTTTCACTGCTGTCCATTTAATTGCATATTTTCCTTATCAAGCTTTCCCCAAGAGCTACAGATTGTTTTTGCAACTTCAAGATCCCGCCGAGTCTAAAAGATAAGCAATGGTCGACTGGCGCATTGCAAACGACTTTAGAGGTTTAAAAGGCACTATGCATAAATATGAGGTACTATAATGTATATGATTGATTTACATTTTTAATATAAATACATCAATCATTTTCTTGTGATGTGTATTTCAGTGTTTGGGGGATTAGACTGCTAACAGTCTTTCCTGAATGTATACCTGTATCTTGATTTAATGTGTTTGTGAGATAGTTACCTGTTGTCAAAGGCACTTGTTGAGGAGGGTGTTTGTGGGGGAAAGATGCATACATACATATATATCTGTACTTTCCTATTTGTGGTTGCATGGGTTGATTCTCATATCCTGATCCTGCCTCTAAACTTGCCACTCATTAGATTCACTCCCTCTTACTCTCATGGGCCCTATCATACCTGCTGTTAAAACTATGTATGGGGTCTGTCTCTCCTACTTTTTGATCATTATTACACTTTCTGACTACCTTGAGACTGAAGAAATACTTCCTGACATTCCTGTGAATCATCTCTGCCTTAAGACTCGAGCTGTTCTCTTTAGTATCTTTCCCTGCCTCAAACAGCCTGCCCCCTGGCCGCCCTATCAATCACCCTGAATATTTTGTATGCTATCATGTTTTTTTTTCTATCCTTCTGTCTTCCAGGGTCGTTAGGTTTAATTCCTTTAGTCGTTCTTCATCATAGTTCAATATCCCTTACTCTAACCGTGTCTTATTTCATACTTCTGCCACATTCTTCAGTTTAAAACAGGGCTACCTGAGGTGTGCTTCCATATAGTGCGGCATATATCCCCAAGATGGGCCTACCAAATCTATTATAAGGGTGCCCTGAAAGGCTGTTGAGATTCCTGAAGGCCACTCAGATTTGCCAGACAAGCATTAGCTTCAGAGGGTTTTATTTTGATGTAAGCCTCTGGTGATATGGAAAGTGCTAGGTTTACCCCCAGGTTTTTTTTTTTAGAACGAGATCTGCAGCCTCTTCCCGCCCCTAAGAGTCTTTTCTTTCCTCCCAATCCGGTTTTTTGCTTCCTCCCCAAATCTTCATTACCTTGCATTAGCTTGGGCTGAATTCAATCAACCACTTATCTGACTATCTCTTTGTGTTGGTGTGTGCATGTATGAGTGTGTGTGCACATGCCCACTTACATGTGGTTGCAGAGGTCATGGTTGTGGGGGTGTGGTTTATTGAATAATAATGAAATTTACAATTCCTGTTGAGGATTGCACAAAAGTCCATTTCACTTTTTAAATTGTTTTGCAAGAGCTGAGAAATAAACCCCATTTTACACCAGGTAAGAGACAGTATAAATAATCAATAGATGCAAGTAAATTGTATAAAATAAACATTAGTTCAACATGAATATCAGTATAAAATATCGATTTGAATGGTTAAATCGAGCTTTAAATTTTACAGCTTATTACTTTTGCAGTTTCTAAATTTGTTAAGTTTATGGGGAATAATGAAAAAGGTACTCCAAAACGACAGAATCGCCTTGAATGCGGGCTTGTAATGGTAAAATGCTCATTATAGATTATTATTTTTATTATTATTATTATTATCATTGTTATTATTGCATTGTTTTATTTTTTATTTTACAAAAAATGCTTAACCTATGTAGGTTATTTAGCACTGCATTTTTGCACAACATGTAATTTTAGATAACATTATGTATGCAATTTTTTTTTTTTTTTTTTTTTTTTTTATTATCACCCCGGCCCGTTCCCCCCAAAGGGCAGGGTGGCCCAAAAAAAAAAAATTTTCCCCATCTTTCACTCCATCACTGTTTTGCCAGAAGGGGCTTTACACAAAGTTTTTAAACTGCAACATTAACACCCCTCCTCAGAGTGCGGCACTTTTACTTCCCATCCCGGGACTCAAGCCGGCCTGCCGGTTTCCCTAAATCCCTTCAAAATTTTAATTTGCTCACACCCAACGCACGTCAAGTTTTAAAAAACCCATTTGTCTCCATTCACTCCTACAAACACGCCACGCTGCCTGCTGGAAGTCCAACCCCTCGCACACAAAACCCCTTTACCCCCCCCCCAACCCCTCCTGGGCCCCACCCCCCCCCCGCCTTCCTTCCACTACGACTATACACTCTTGAGTCTTTCTTTTCGCTCCATTCTCCTACATGCCCGAACCACCTCAACAACCCTTCCCAGCCCCTGGACAAAGTTTTGGTAATCCCGCACCCCCTCCAAACTTCCAAACTACGAATTTCGTTTTATTCACACCACACTTGCCCCCAGCAGACTCTCCATCCCTCCCCTTCTCCTCGCGCAACTTTCATCACCCACGCTCACACCCATATAAAGGTTGGTAAAACTATACTCTCATACTTTTCCCCTCTTTGCCTCCAAAGGGACAAAGTTCTTTGTTCCACGCCCTAAGGCACCCCCACCTTTTTTTCCCTCATAATTCTATATTCACCTCATCTTTTATAGACCCATCCGCTGACACGTCCCCCCCCCCAAATATCTAAATACTTTTAACCTCCCCAATCTCCTCTCCCTCCAATCTGAATTCAATCTTTTTTCACCTAATCTTT